GATCGATGACCGATAGACGATGTAATAACAAATATACTAATTTAAATAAGTGTTCGTACCAAAGGTTAGCGCACCCTCACACGATCGCAACATACATTTGTATTACATTGACTGACATCCACTTAACCATCGCCTATCGGTCATCGAGGCATCTTCAGCATGTACACACCCTGTACTCAGGAACTACGGAACATTTTTATTCCAAAATTTTGAAATGTAAATGAGATCTTCAGTACTATCATTTGAGGAATACTTGAGATTAGTTACGTCATCAATGGCGCTATGACGTCATCGCATTGAAAAATGTTAAATGAATAGGGGGATAAATGTTATCTAAAATGAAAATATTTTTTTATTCCAAATACCTTCACTGTGATACACTGTTGAATTTGGAATAAAAAACCCTTTTATTTGAGCTAGCTTTCGAACCCCCACTTATTCATTTAACTTTTTCAATACGATAACGTCACAGCGCCAGTGATGTGAAGGTCCCATTGATATTTTTCAATTTTCGAATAAAAATGTTAAGTAGTATCCGAGTAACAGCCTGTAAAAAATCTTGAGATCGTATTTTACGCAATATGCATATTGTAGATTCTGTTTTATACATACGCCTCAAATTAATGACAAACACTATGCACTTAATGATGTTACCAAAAAATTTGTTATTTATTTATCTTCTTACCTTATTAGAATCCTCTTTCATCAAGTACGTTCCTGCAGAAACCTCCCTAATTTCCACTTTTCCTTTTAAAATATTCAAATCGTCCAATCCCAATTCTTTTACAAAAGCTTCTGTTGCTATTTCTATGAGCTCTTCATCATTAACTGTTTCAGGCATTGAAAGTCTCTTTTTTTGGAGGGAATTGAAATCCAGGAACTAAAAATTTTGTTATATTCTGCATATTTACCATTATCATAACAATATTATTAATTTTTTAACTGTTGAAACATTCATAACTAAATTAATAACTAAAACCATGAAGGCCGACAACCAATCATCTGTTTCACTTTACAGAGAAAACTTAGTCAAATAAAGTTTAAATTTTAAATCTCAGAGGTTGTTCAAGATTAAAAATTTCATTCATGTAAGAAGTTTTCGGAAACTTACTTGGATCAGAAAGATTATTGTTCGTTTACCTAGGGTTACTAACCCTATCCGAGTACGGAAACTGGTAAATTACTGATCCAGTTTTGTGATCGAGATCAATATTTTGTGATCCTCTCTGCGAGTAGTAGTAGTTATAAAAGTTTTAAAAACATTTTTATTGTATGTGTAAATGTGTAAGTAACTATCCAGTAACTGCATTCAGCAATAAGCCTTATACAATTTACAAATGAACTAAATAGTTCTGTAATAGTGTTTATTTTGTGTTTATTACTGTTGAAAGAATGTTCCGGAAATAATTTGTTTTATAAATTTTATTTTGTAAACATTTTGTCAGCTTTTATAAAATGTCACATTGTTACTTGAGCAGTTACGGCTTGAGTGGGTGAACAAATTCATACAGCGTGAAGCCCACTTTGTTCGTAGAATGGAATGAAGAATGAATGAGCTGAACGCATGGGAAGAAGTAGGGCATCCAAATGGTGACACAATAAGACATATGGGTCTCAGTGTCGCCATGTGAACCCCTAGAGGAAGGAAAGCAGGCTGAACCCCAAGTCTGATTGGGGGATTTGCCGAATCCTCTCAGAGGGAGTAGAGGGATGCCTGAAAGAGTGAAAAAATATGTTTCTTCTCTTTTTCAGGTAAATATTCTTAGTTTTCCTTTTTTTTGGTAGATTTAGACAAGGTATTCCTTGTTAACATTTGGCTATAGATCCTATAGCACGGTAAATATTTCTGTGCGAAATATTTTGGTCTTGAATAATGCGAATTATTTTAGGCTTAGGGATCCGTCCAACCAAAATATAAACGACTTGCATAATGTCAAAAAAAAATAAACAATATTTTGTTTACAAAGCCATTTTGATATTTTATTATTACAACTCATTTTTAGATTCATAATTTCTTTGGTTATACCATTGGGACATATGTTAAATCACAGTTATTAATCGACAGTGAGTTTTAATAACTGAAAAAATCTGAGCTATAATATTCTATCAGAATTTGCTTGAAATTGGAGAGATAAATATCGAGAGAACATTTTCTTCTATGATCAGAGGTAAGTAGTCTTAGCCTAGATATGTGGGTAAATGCATAACAATCAAAACTTTATCTTAAACCAATTTTGATTAGAAAAACAAACAAGTCAGCACCTGATAACCTAATTTCGTTATCTACGATATGTATTATATTA